TGCAGATCACATCAGGACACGGTCTCGACGCGCTCGGTACGACGCCTGCGACCCGTCTTGGGTCAAGTGGCACGACGCTCATCTCGCCTACCAGCGCTGCGGTACAGGTTGCCACGACGAGGTCGAGCACGCTTCTATACGCTCGCCCAGCCTCCCTTTCCATCCCATTAGGCAGCATGGGAACGGTGGCGAGCAGAGGCAAAGCCTACGAGGGGTGGTGGAACCACATGTCGCGGCTACTGCCGGCTCGACCCCACGATAGCCTCCGAAGGCTGACTTTGAGGCACCATCATCGGACGATGTCGACGAGTTGGGTCGCTCTCGCGGTAGCCAGGTAGCCCCCCATACTAGTAGCACCGGCCATGGCCGCAGGAAGCTCGGGGGAGGGCGCTGGGAGCAACACGGAGCTCCGTTGGACGCGTTTTCAAGATTAGCGTGTCAGAGTGAATTGGAACTAGCCAAATTTCTCCACACACACAAGTGGTGGCGTTGTGCTGAAGAGTGGAGTCCCTCGCCTGAGCGTGCTGCGCGTGCGTGATGTTCTTTTTACACGACAGCCGTCAGGATCACGTCGATGACATTGCTGCTAAGCGTGTGCATTCTTTTTCTTGTCAAAACACATTTCCACAGGTCAAAACACATTCCATCGACCTCGTCCAACACGCAACAGCAACACATACCCTTGACCCTGTACGCGCCGTACGCGGCTTTAGCAGAGCCCAGAGCGAGAGAGCACAGGACCAGATTGATATACTGTGTCAAGGTACAAAAAAGAGTACAGCATGCATGCCCACAGACTACGTATGGACCAACCCTCGGTGGCCCCCCGAGCACAGCCCGTCTCGCTCATTGTCCCTCGCCAATCGGTGATCAACGAGGCGGTAGAGCAAATTTCACATGCGCTGCAAACTGATATGCAGCTATACTCGGGCGCCTTGCAAGGCGCACAATTTGGCTCGAGCTCGCCCTCCTGCGCACCGGCAAAATCGACTAAGGCGGTGCAGAAGGAGCCGGCGGTAACAGATGTTCGTCCAAGCGTGCAGGCATTGCAACTTTGGGAGTGTCGTCGATCTCACTGATCCCTTGGAGCAACACATACGAAACAACAGCTGCGGCAGCGCCTTCAAAAGCCAGAAAGGATAGCGCGTTGCAAGTTTGTGCGTCGCAAATCCCACCAGCAGCTGCGAGCATGTCAATGGAGCCAGTGATCAGGTTCGTGGCCACCACCGAGGCAGCAAGCGCGCAGACTGTGGTGGCGAGCGAGAGCCACCGATCCTTCACGCCAGGGCCGCTGCCGGCAAAGAGCCAGAGCACAGGAATCCAGGGACAGCAGCACCACACACAAGGCACGAAGATCAAGACGCGCAACAGGCAACTGCCCCAGTCATGCTTCTGCGCTCGCTCCTCCGCCCAGGCGGGGCCGCCCCCCTCCAGGTCTGCGCGGGCCAGCCAGCCTGACAGCACTGCGCCAAGCAGCAGAAGCAGCACCAGCGAGCACACATCTCCGAGCAGGCCCGACAAGGGCATCACTTTTGATAGCCAGCCCGACAGCGAGAAGGCGCACACGACGCGCGAGGCGAAGCACATCATTGCGGCATGCCGTGATCTCAGGGTGGCATCTGCGCGAGGCTCAGGAGCGGCCAGGTGGGCCGCTAGAAGCACCACAATGCCCAGGTAGATCGTGCTCGCCATGATCTGGTAGCCTTCGGGAGCCGCGCGACTGAAGAGGTTGTTCCAAGCCACGCCCAGGCCGAATCCCACAGTCTTGCGGACGACGTCGCCGACCTTGCCAGCGCAACCCGTGGTGGGCAGCAAGTGCACCACAAATGCCACCGCCCAAGATATTCCAAGGTTCCAGATGCTAAGAGCGAATCCGCTGGAAAAGCGGCCAAGGAATGCGAGCATCGTGGCGGTGAAGATCGGTGACGGAAAGAACTCGACAGCAGCCACTATGGCGCCAGTCATGGGTCCAGGGGCCGCCTTCAGCTGGGTCAGGAGCACGGCGGCGGATGCGCACACGGCGAGATAAGGCGCGAGAAGCAAGAGCATGCCCTCTCGCTCGGCGTGCGCGCCGAGGCCGGCCTGCCCTTGCAGCGGGCTCTCGCCGGCGAGCAAATGCCACGTGCCATAGTAGACGAGCACCCAGGACCAGGCCGTCGTGAACGCCCCGGTCTGGAAGAGCAGCTTGCGCAGATGCTCTTCCAGCCCAGCCAGCTCCATGGATCTGGGTTCCGGCTCCTAGCCAGATAGGGGGTCTGTGGCTACGGTTAGACCCCATGCAATAGGTAGGTAGGTCCGGTTTTGACCGCCCCAGAGGGCCCCGCAATAGGTAGGTAGGTGGTGGTGGTGGGCAGGGGGGGGGGGGGGGGGTAAAAAAACCGCTTCGTTCGCTGCGCGGGAGACTCTGTCGAGGGAAGAGAGTGCCGTTTTGGAGCCGTCCAACGCCTCGAGAGCCCAGTAGGCCATGCTCTGGCGGGCTCGCGAGCGGCGCGCACCGCGGTACAAGCCGGCGCGCGGCGGGCGCTGGGAGCCTATTCACAGAGGGCTAACGGGCATTTTTTCGCTTCGCTGCGCGGCCTGGGAATAGGTAGGTAGGTGGGGCACGGAGCCTGGCGGTTGGCGCCCGCAATAGGTAGGTAGGTAGGGCGTTTTGGTGCGAGTCATAGGCAACAGACCCCCTATCTGGCTAGGAGCCGGAACCCTGGAGAGCCGGCGCGAGCGACAGCAAATTGAAAAAAACGTCTTGGTAAACGCACATCCCTCCCTTGGGTGTCTGTTTTCTTTCTTTCTTTACGCACAGCCCCGAGCCCGAAATCGCACAAACTATGTCTTCACCAGCCAAAGCCACGGAACTCGGTGCCTTCGGACTTGTAGATGCCCCAGCCCTCGCAGCCGATTACCTAGTAACGCGAGGTGAACGTGTCGATACAGCGTGGGGTGGGCATCTCCCCCGCACGCATCTCGATGTGGTCAGAGATAGGGCCCCCATAAAACGGCGGACCTGCGGCCCCCGCACGATGGGGTCGAAAGTCTTCCCGATGGCGGCGTAGGTGCAGATGACCAACGCAAAGAGCCCCCACAGCAGCACGCAGGCGGCGATGGCCCCCTCAGTGCGCGTGAGGGACTGGCGTATGCACCGCCCAGGCGTGGGCGCCTCGACATCGCTCAAGAGGGAGCGCGTCAGCGCCGCCTGGGAGCGCGCAGCTGGAGGCGGCGGGCCCAACGCGCAGAGGGTGAAGATGCTGGGGAAGATGAGGTTGCACGCAGGCACCGTCAGCGCGGTCGCCCAGGAGAGCATGACGAAGAGTCCAGAGGGCGAGCCTGCAGAGGGTGGGGGGGGACGCTCGAGCCCGAACGCAGAAACGGGCGGGCGGCGAGGGTGAGCAAGAAGGAGGAGCTCAGCGCGGTGCTGACGGCCGGCGACGCGCTGCGGCAGAGCGCTCGGAGGAGGAGCGGAGCAGGGCGGGCTGCTGCGGCAGGAGCTGGAGGCGCACACCTCGAGATTGCGGGAGATTGCGGGAGATTGCGGGAGATTGCGGGAGATAGCGGGAGATAGCGGGAGGTTGCGCACCGACGAAGACGGCGACGAGCACCCCAAAGACCCACGCCGGCGCCGAAATGAGGGCGTAGCGGCCGACCGAGCGCAGGTCCCACCGCCCGCTGAAGCGCGGCACGAAGCGGCGCTGGCACCAGCGCGCGAGAGGCACCGAGTCGAGGCAGTAGCCGACAAAGTTTGAGAGGCAGAGCAGCGAGGAGAGCAGGCGGCCGGCGAAGGAGGACCTGGGCCACCCCTGCGGGGGGGGGGGGGGGGGTTCAGGAGCGAGGCCGACGCAGCAGACGTGCCGGACGGCGAGGAGGCGGCCTCGCTCAGCGTGATCGGGTCGTCGACGCCCCCCTCCCACAGGCACCAGACGGAGAGCCCGACGGCGAGGAAGGTGGCGACGTTGAGGCCGGCGGAGAGGGCGATCGAGCGGCTCAGGTGCTCGGGCGACTCCATCTCGAACGCGAGCTCGGCGATCAGCAGCGAGGGCACGTAGGCCCAGATTGCTGTCGTCAGGGAGAGGGCCATCTCGACCGAGGCGGTCCTGCTGCGGTCGGGTGAGGTGAGGTGAGGGGAACTTCTCGACAACACACGAGTGGTGGGGGAAGGCCCAGGCAGCCCTCGTATCTCCACACCCGGACACGCGGCAGGAGCCGGCACGGCATTCAAAGTGCAAGGCCCAGTGCACGTGGGTGAGCAGACCTGCTGCTCGGGTCGGGAGGGCCAAACTTGTCCCAGACGGCTTCGGAGCCGCGGTTGCGGTGCTCGTGGTCGCCCACCCCCTTGCCGTGCGTGTCGCCGTGGCCGGGCGAGTAGGCGGCGGCAATGTAGATTTGGAGCCCCGCGACGCCAACCCCGGCGACCAGTGCAATGCCCGCGAGGAGGGAGGCGTACTTGAGCTCTCGGCACTGCGTGCCGGCGAAGCAGACGAGGGAGACCAAAAAGATGAAGTAGTTGGTGCACGTCTCCCCCTCGGGTTGCACCGCATCCTGGCGCGCGGACGCCGATGCTTCAGGGCTGGGCGAGGGCAAGACGGGGCGAGGATGGGGTGGTGGGCTCCCCCGGCAGTGGGTGTGTACGTGGGAGACGAGCGGCGTTGTGCGAGGGCGTGGGCTCGGCGTGCGCCTACCTGCATCGCGGATGCTGTGGTAAGGAGCGCGACAGGCTGGTAGAGGACAAAGTTTGTCAGCTGCAGGCAGAGCGCGGCGTTGGCGCCGGAGATGCGGCCGGTGGCGAGTGCGCCGAGGTCGGAGAACATACGCGGCCTCCGGTGCCCCTGTGGAGCTCCCAGGATGAGCTTGAGCAGCAGCAGGGCCCCGCAGGCGGAGGCGGCCGTCGCGAGGATGCACATGCCACTGCCGAGGAGGACGCCGGAGTGGTAAAAGGTGTAGGCGACGCCGGTGATGCTCGAGGGCACCGCGAACGCGTAGAGGATCAGGCCACTCGCGATCCAGTGCATGGTTGAGGCTCAACGGCGCGCAGTCCGACTCGGTCCGCCGCAGCTCCGACTCAGTCCGCCGCAGCGACTCGGCCGCGTCTTCTTGCCGCGCCGCGCTCGCCTGGGCGGAGATAGGTGGAGATAGCTATCCTGTCACGCTCCACGATTTTTTATCCTTCCCGGGGTTCTTGTTCTCGTTTCTCTGGCTCCAGTGGTCTCTCCGGCGAGAAGGGAAATAAAGAAAAGCGCGCACCGCGTTCGTTCGTGTTCCCCTCCAGGGTTGAGTGGAGGAGGCGTGCGATGTGGCTGCAAGATTCCGAGGCGGCTGCAAAATTCCGACAGCGCGGCTTCCTGCTGGTCGCCGACCTGGCATCGGTCTTCTTGTTCAGTGGGATCATCTTTGGCTGGGCGCCATTGAGCGCGATGCTGGTAGACGAGGGCTTCTACAGCCATCAGTGCGTGGGCGAGCCCGCGCCATGCGATGCACAGGCAAACTCTCTGAACCTGGCGTTCACGATTGGGAGCACCGCGGTTTCGTTCCTCTCCATCCCCGCCGGCATGCTCGTCGACAAGTTTGGGCCGGCGGTGGGCACGGTGGTGGCGGCCGTGCTCGAAATCTCCGGGCTGATTGGGATCGCAGTGTGCGAGGACGTGAACCGCGAGACCGGCTTTGACCTCTTCCTCGTCTCGTTCACTATGATCTCGGTTGGCGGCGCGTTCACCATGTTCAATGCCTACTCCGCACCCTTCCTCTTCAAGTCGAGCATGAACGTTGTGATAGAACTCACCGCGTGCCTCTTCGACGGCAGCTGCATCATCTTCACCTTCTTCAAGATGGCGTACGACGCCGGCGTGCCGTTCAGCACGCTTTGGTGGTTCTTCGTCGGCCTCGCCGGTGGCGTATACGCCCTCCTCATCCTCGCCTGGATCGTCAACGCCAAGGAGCTCAAGGAGTCGCGGGCTGTGGACAGCACGCCGTCAGCCGAGGAGGCCAAGAGCCCGCACGCCGACTCGCTCCCTTCAAAGCCGCTCCTCGAGCAGGTGCGCACCCTCGAGTTTGTGGCGGTCTGCCTTTACGCGGCGATCCAGGTGCCGCGCTCCAACCTCTACCTCGGCTCGGTGGACCTGACCAACCGCGAGTACGCGTTGCTCTATGACTGGCCTGACGTCGACCGCGTCATCTCGATCATCGGGCTCATCATCCCCCTCGGCTTCGCCGCGGTGCCCTTCATCGAGGCCTCGATCCACTACCTCGACCTCATCGGCACCTTCCTCGTCTGTTCGGCTCTGGGACTGCTCTACAACTTCCTGCAGCTCGTGCCGGCGCAGTCGGCGCAGCTTCTCGGCGCGGTCGTCTTCGCCGCCTTCCGCGCCTTTCTGTTCTCGATCCT